GTCTTTTTGATCTTGTTTTGAGACTGATTTACTAAATAAGAACTGACTGTGTAAGAATAAAAATCTTGTTTTCAGAATGTGTAAGATTATTTGTCTTGTTAGCCTGAAAATTTGACTCAAATTAAGTAAAAAAAATTGCCAATGGGGTAAAAAATTTTACTTGGCAAGATTCTTGAATTACTTGATTTGACTAATTTTTTTCTTATTTCAAGAACCTTACCAAGTAAATTTTTTTACCCCATTGGCAATTTTTTTTACTTAATTTGAGTCAAATTTTCAGACTAACAAGACAAATAATCTTACACATTCTGAAAACAAGATTATTATTCTTACACAGTCAGTTCTTGTTTAGTAAATCAGTCTCAAAACAAGATCAAAAAGACTTTTTGGCTGATATAAGGTTTTAAAACTTGGTAAGATGGATAGTTTTTGCAGTGTGGAAGGTCCCTGATGTGACAGATACCATCATTTAGTGAGCTTTAAACACAGAGACAGAACTGTGAAACCAAAAGTAACAGTATGCAAAAAAAGTTTAAAAAATAACGTGGATTTATGAGTGGCTCATCCACGACTGTTTATGAAAGGAAAGGGATGAGATAAATATTTGCTGTAGTGTGTGTAGGATTTTTAYTTTCACTTTTAACATTTACAGATATAACTCAAACTTAAATCTAATTCAAACTAATTCTGATCCAACAGTTCTGCAGAAGGTGAAATTAACTTTCCTTGAAGGAACGCTTGCCAAACTTTTAAACACAAATTTTGTGTGAATATGTGTTGGGAATGGTGAGAAATCTTTTTTTTTTTTTTTTCATTTTAAAGCTAAATTTATTGTGGCAGTCATCTTCAATCAGGTTTATTCTAAATAAATACATAAAATAACCAGCTGTACACGTACATATCTAATGATTGATTTTTGGGAACTTCTGTAACCAGAACAGTGTAAGAGACAGAGAAACAATTACACACTCTAAGGTAATCACTTCATCAATCACATCCTTTTAAGGTGGCAAGTGATAAAAATATCTATTCTGACTCCAACATCCTAAAAACTGAACGTCGAAAAATGTTTTTTTGTTTCTGTAAATTTGATTTCATCCTGTTTTGAGAGACYAAGATCCAAGCATCAGTTTTGCACAAAGCTTTTGACTACAATCCTAAATCTAAGCAAACTAGACAGGAGGAAGTCGTGATGAGTCCTCACACACGTGTGCGTCTACTTATCAGCAGGAAGAAAGGCAGATGTGTTTCCACAGATCCAGAGAACTGCAGAACAAACAGAGCTGATGTACAAGGCAGCGAAAAGCTGATAATGTCGTTATGTAAAGCAGCTCTGTGTTGTCTAACAGATGTGCTGAATTTAGATCAGTTCTGGAGGTTATACGGGGCATAAAAAGAAGTTTTGTTGATCAGGATACAGCGTCGGCCCGCTGAGTGAGACACTGAAGAATCTGGAAGAGTTTCGGCCACGCACTTTTATAAAGATTTTTGTTTCATGTTCTGATGCATCTCAGTAATCCAGAAAAAGTAGGTCCTCTGGACGGGTTCTTCTTTAATGAAATGTTTCGTCTCTCCTGCAAGAGTTTCAGGTGAACTCAGCCTTATAATCACTGCCTCCACATGGTGGACGAACAGTTTGTTCACATGTATCAGCCAAACAATAGATCATTAGTRTCCTGATCATCACCTGTTGTTCATACAGGATCATGTGCACCATCACCTGACTATCATTAGGACCCTGATTATCACCTGTTGTTCACAGGGACCTGAGTCATACTTGCAATGACAGCATTGTAAGAGGGGACAACCAATTGCCTCCTCTTGCAATGCTGTTTATTTTATTTTATTTTATTTTTTCATTGTTGAGAATTCCAACTTTACACTGTAAATCTGGTGCTACACTTTTACACTGCAAAGATTACCCATCTAACCGAATCTCATAATCATATATCCCGCCAAAAAGTATTTTTGATTTTGTTTTGAGACTCATATAAGAGCGGAATGTGTTAGATTATTATTAATATTATTATTAATCCTGTCAGCCTGAATCTTCTCCTGTCAGTGGAATTCAGATTATAATCTAAAATTTTGAATTAATTTTTACATAGCTACGTTTAGCTGTGTGTGAATATAAATATGCATTAGTTGCATTTTATTTTAGTATTTAAAGAGTAAATGAATGCATTTTATTTAGATTCTATGTAAATCAGAATTACTAACTCAAGCTTATGTTTTTTAAATTGTTGTATGTAAAGTTAAAAATCTAGAATCTCCATTCAACATGAAAATAATTCATCTGCTCTGATCGGACTGTTTTCAGATAACTGTGCAACAAAAGACAAAAATGAAAGATAAAAGCAGTAAAACATGTGACTGACATCATACAACAGGTTTAGCAGATCGTCTTTGTCTCATTGTCTTTATGAAAACCAGGTCTAGTGGAGGACTTTGGCAATCTGGGTAAATTGTGATTGTGATTAAAGGTTTTAGAGATGCTCTGATTTTCTGTTGCTATAATGAAATAATAACCTGACAGAAATAAATACATATAAGGAAAAGCATGTTTCCATTTCTTTCTATAAAATGGTTTTCTAATCCTTCCAATGATTAAGTTGCCTAAAATTTGACACAAATTTATGGATTTTGTGGGTTTATTCTAAAAAGAAGCTAAAACCTTTCTGTCAGTAAGTATAAAGTATAGTATTTACACATATGTGTGTATCTTACCTTCACCCAGGTCCAGGACAGCCAGCACAGCACTGGTCCGGGCCTCTCCCAGGTGGTTATTGGCGATGCAGGTGTAGAGACCAGCATCGGTGGGTTTACAGTCCCTAATCCAAAGCCCTCCGTACTCCTGGTTCTCCATGTTGAGGAGCTCATCGTTGTGGTACCAGTACAAGGAGGGTTGGGGGTCTCCGGCCACAGCCACCTTCAGACGGATGTCGCAACCTGTTCCCACGGCAGCGTTCCTCATTTTGCGAACAAAGACAGGTGGAGCTGGATTGAGACAACCGGGGCCCCGGGGATCGGGCACTACCTGCTCCAGACTCGCTTTAGACCGTTTTGTGGGGATGACAGGACTTGGGGGGGCCGCTGCTTCATCTGCCCCCTTTTTAAAGGTCTTTGGTGCATCAGCTTTTCTCATGATTGATCCAACTTGATGGTTTCTCTAAGGGAATCTGTGACTTTATGACTACAACACAAGTTTAAAGACACTATGGATGGATCTTAAATACAAATCACCAGAAGATAACACTTTAATTTAATCTAAACTCTTTTAAAAACATATCTAAATTTCTAAAACATGTTTTCTGACCTCAGTTTGAAGAGAAAATGAACTAGTCGATCACCAGGTAATGAAGCAGACGGAGCCAGCGACCACGCTCCTCAGCAGTATTTTTAGGATAAGACTGTCTGGATCATGTTGCATCGACAGCTTCTCTCTTCACTTTGCTGGAGGTAACAGCCCTGCTTCTCCAGGTCCGATTCGTCCTGTTGTCCTCCTACTCATTTGACTTTTGGAAACTTTTCACAACTTCTTTGCAAACCAAGCTGGACACGTCTTCATTGGGTTCACCTTGTGGTTGGTTCTTTGGCCTCCGGTTGAATCCAGGCATCGAGTCGTACCCGGTAAGTTGGACAGTGAAACCACCCACCCCTCCTTGATTCTTGTCCCATGCATTAGATCACCCCACTCATGATTTCCCCCCCAACCTCTGCCAGTCCGTGTGGAAGGGGAAATGACAGCCACAATGACAGCTGCGTGGTCTCTCTGCCCACTCACTGCAAGGCTCCCGCCCCCMCGGTCATTTTTAGCCAACCTGGGGTCAGTGGAACATGACACAACACTTGGCACAAAGGAACGAGAGCGCTGATAAAATACAAATCAGAAATACAGTCATTACATGCTTTACCCTAAAATGAAAATGTTTTTTATGAGAATAATTCGATGTCTTGATCCACTGTGAAGCTGAAGTCTGAGATGGTGCAAAATAAGACGTTTCCCATCAGTGATCTGTTTGCAATCAAAGGAAGAAAATGTTGCCTTTTTTGACGTCTTAACTTCTGCTGTAATTTTGCTTCAGCTGTCGTCGCAGCTTCTGTTTTTTTGTTTCCCCAAATGAGCTGAAAGGATGACTATTAAAGAGCACATTCTTTGTCTATCAGCTGAAACATCAAGTGACTTACTACACAATATGAAAGGAATGTGAAGAGTTTTTTATACTTAAATGATGCCAGCTAAGGAGACAGAATTTATTATTTTGTGCTACCCACAGCATTCAGATCTGAACCTAGTGTCTTAAAAATAAATACAAAAGTAAATTTGGCAAAGAAAATGTTTTATGTTCATTTTTACAGTTTAATTTATACACCACATGTACAGATGTTTTTCAAATAACTCATAAACAATCATTTGACCTTTAGCTATCAAAATAAATTACACATGTACCAGATCTTTTACCATCTAAGCTGCAGCAAGTCACTGTTTCCCACATTTAAGAACATATAACTCGTACACTTATACCTTATATACAGAAGAGCACTCGTATGGGGTGCCGTTTGTAAGTTACACAGTCAAAAATTACCACCAATATTTTTGTTTTATTTAGCCTTTTTATAAGAAAAAAGAAAAAAATATTTTTCAAAGTCAGTTTTTCACCATATGATTCATACATTTATAAATGTCATAGTTTATAAACTAAATATTTAACTTACAAATTAAATATTTAGTTAACAAGCTAA